TGCGACCATTTTCGATATGATAAAATTTTTGGAGCAGGGAGAGGCTCCCATGATAAAACGAAAAACTTTTTGTGACTCCTCCCAATCATTCATACCCAACATTTTGAGAACCACTGCTTTACATAACACTACTATACACGAAGCACGTCCCACACAGATGCATGTAACTGCTGCTTCTATAGCACTGGCATCAGCAATACACACTCTTAGCCATAAAAATGCTACACTGACCCTACCCTGTATTTCTGCATAACTTCCTTTGTAAATCCGTATCTGAAACACAGGAAGGACGTTGAGGTGTCAGTCATATGGCCTACAAAGATCTGCGGCATTCAGCCAGAGCGATCGAGGGCACCACACCTCAGGTTCATGATGTGGTCCTCGTGGTTGCCTCGATTTAGGTGCATGTGGTCTGGATAGAGGAGCAGGAAGGCAAACAGAATGATGATGATCTCTATGGACTTCTTCCCTCGGTCCACAAAGTCGCCGTTGAACACGTAAGGGTTATCCGTCGAGGGAAGGCCATTCTGTATCCAAGGCAATAATGAATAAACTCCCTAGGAAAAAGGCATTTCAGTACCCATCTAGGAGGGCTTCACTGTAGAGTATCCATCCCTCAGTACCCATCTAGGAGGGCTTCACTGTAGAGTATCCATCCCTCAGTACCCATCTAGGAGGGCTTCACTGTAGAGTACCCATCTAAAAGTTCACACTGCAGTTGTCTGTCTTTATAAATGTTCTCTAGCTACTTCTACTACTGGATCCATGCAGAACCCTACCTTATAGAATATGAGCAGCAAATCATCCAGTCTTCCATGCAAGTCACCTAAAAACAGGAGAGATGTTTAATAAAACAGCTCAGGTCAAATCTCGTAAGTAAAACAAAGCAGAGAAACGTACTATGCTAGACAAAGGGACAGATTTCAGGCATACAGCCATTAAGCTCCTTCTGTGGGCCAGGCGATGTGGGATTTCATGATTTCCTGTATAGCGAGGTCCTGCTGCTCGTCTCACACGTGCTTCAGGTTAATAAGATGGCTTTTTTAGGTTAGCTCTGACATGTTAAGATGCGCTTTATTAATCCCACAAAAGGTAATTTCGGAAACAACCAAAAAAGTACGAAGACAAGAGCCGCTGCAGCAGGCTGCATGTCGACACGGCGCCAAAGGAACCACTGATTCTGTCCTGCCCAAACTGACCTGCGCCTCATTGGCTGCCGCCCCCCTCCATCCCACATCAAGCAGCAGGACTCACCGCACACTGTGATCTCCTTGGTGTACGATGTTGACAGGTATATGATGTTCGGCATCTGCTTCAGGAACCGCTTGGTCTCATAAAGCAGCTGTAACACGTACCTGGCGTGCAGAATCTGGAAAAAACAAAAAACCAGAGGAGAAACCGTTCTTACTGCTCCAGTCGGGCACCTGACAGGACACACAATCATCATGGGCTTGGCATTACATCTGAAGGACCCATAAATCTATATTGGGAGTGTTTCAAATTGCAGGCCTTCCTTAATGTGCCCAGAAATAATCAGCTCTCATTCTTCGATGCTTCAGAGAACCTATTCAATAAAAAGCTGCCCGTATTCCAGTGAAATCCACACTCCTTTGGTCTTGAGGAACAGGGACGGGGCCAGATTAGTCTCCCAAGACTTCCTGGCACCTTCACATTGAGTTACAGAGCCTGACATCACAATGGGGGGGTGGGTGGGTAACCTGCTGCGCTTTGAATGCACTGAGCAAAGCGTTGGTGTCGGACACGGTGAGGGGGAAGGAGATGTGGGGGCCGCTGTATGAATCGGACACCTCGACCCCCTCAAACGTGGCTTGCTTCTCCTCCTCCGTCAACGCAGGGTCCAGAAGATGAGAGATCAGATCTGAAAGAAATGAGGCAGAGCCCATCCTCGTTCATCATTAATGAATTGCGATGCATCTTTTATCTCATGCAGCTACTATATTTCATGATTTATACTCCAGTAGTAACTGAGTTTTTGCCCCATCAAGTAAAGTGTCACCAACAATTCTAATCAAAACTGTGTTGTCCCTATAAAAGGGATATAAATGTAATGAAGTGTATTGAGCCCAGACAACACCCATGAGCCCCTCACAGTATAGCACAGGCTGTGTGCTACACTTAAAGACGCTAATTTCTGGGAATAAAAGCGAATCCATTCAGAGACGGGGTGTCGCACCCACATGTTTAGCTGGGTCCCATGTTCAGGCACAAGTGGCCACTTCCTCCCTGTAGTGCCTGCCACTTGACCCCTGCTAACCAATCAGAGTACTGCGTCACGCTTAGTTACGTCGGTGACATCACAAAGCATTTATGGGAGGAGGGGGGCATGGAACGAGGTGGGCGGGCGGGGGGAGGAGGGGATTGCCCGAACAATGGCTCCTCCTTGCAGTCTAATTTCTTACTCTTCTGAACCTAAAAGTGAACATTAATTGCCACAACAGCCCTCTAGGAAGGCTGGAAAATAAAAATAAGAAATAAATATACAAACAAAGGCAGTACAGAAAACGCTTGACAGAGTTGCTCAAAACACAGAGTGGCTATAACAATGAAATTAAGTCTTTTAAATGTGATTTGTACCCTTTAAGACTAACTTTCGATTTCAGTAAAACTGTAGCACCTTCAATCTTCGGAGTGTTACCAATGTGTCACCAGTGAAGGCTGCCCGTGCTCACAGTCGCACGTGATGATGTCACCACGAAACATGGCATCAAACGACTCACAATCAAAGCTCACCCACGCCTCAATAATGCAAAGCTTGCAGAAACAGCTAACGGTTATTTTTCTATCTAGCGTAACTCTTGGTGGTGGGGGGGGGGGCGGGGGGCGGTTAGCTTTAATATCAGCATAACAGTGTACCCAGCGCTGTCTGGTGCTGAGAGTGGGATCTCTGGTTGCTTAGCAACAGTGTTCCCCCATGTTTTTTGGCATTATAAAAGGAGAAAAGGATCAGTTATCTTCACAACAAAGGCTGTTTTCCCAAATCACGATCAGCTGTTAACTGTACAGCCACTTAACACTTGAAGCATAAATCATCCAAATAACACAAATGCAAACATCAGAACTAACATCTAAGACCAGTGCGGTCTTTTAATCTGGAATGTGGGTTTTAGTTTCAGTTTCTATAGCTACAGCTGTGTGATGCATACAGTGAAACTAATTAAATTAATTTGGCGTGAATTAGTGTTTGTCTAATAAGCACATGAGGTGGCGTTTAGCTTTCCAGAGAGCATAGTGTTTCAAAACATGGCTTCAGAATCTGATCCAAGCACAGGAGTCAGTGCAGACAGTAGTTTCACATCGATACCCCCCCCTCCCCCCGCACGGTTGGACATCTTTCATACCCAAAAACTATGCCATCATCTACCTGGGCCATTCCCGCTGATCTGTGTGAAGTTGTCCAACATAAAGCTGAAGAAACTGGAGAGCTGTTAAAAAAAAAAAAAAGCCAGACATTACAGCTCGTATATTAAAAACAGGGCCAATCCCTGCGGTGACCTTCCCTGTAATCATTACTGCTGCTCTGCACATCGGTCACCAGGGGGCGATCTCCCACAGTCACCTGCAGCTGATCCTGCTCGCCAGCGTACTCGATGGACTGGAATATGCTCCAGGTGTACCGGCGTCTTATTTCCAGCCGGGCCACGTAGCGCCGGTACCAACGTTGGATCAAGATGGCCGCCTTCATGGCTACAAGATGTGGCAGAGATCAAACAAACATACCTTACGTACTGTATGTATGAGAACAGATGAGTCGACATAGCACTTTAAACAGACAGGGGGCGCTCTTGTCATATTCAAGCCTTGAATGTCAACGTGAGGAAAAAACGTCAAAGACACAAGGTACAAGGACCCTCTCAGAAGTTCCACAGTTTTATCTACATGATGTGGCTTAGAAATAATAGAATCGCTGTCTTCTCAGAACCATGCCATTATTTTCCGTTACACAGACGGAAGACATACTTAGGTCCTGTATCGTATTGTATCCTGTAAATGTCTTTCCGGTTTTAAATCTGACAACGTCCATACAATTAGCACCAAGTCGATACAGAAATTACCCCAGAGGGAGATGTTCTCTCCCAGCATGATACACCATCACGAGACAGTAACACACACGCAAGCACATACATAAAGACGGTGACACACACACACACACACATGCCCAAACATGCATATGGCAACGACAAGCCACACATGGGCACATTCGCACGTGCCTCTCCAGAAGAACTGTGGCTAAAATTAGGCAGGGTCCCAGAAGGGCAGTCACTACTTACTACATAATTAACTTCAGTTACGGGGTGTGACGTTAATGACTGCAAGGACTCTGGGTTTGGGGTTTTAAAAAAAGCCTCGATCCTACAGAACTGGGCCACAAAAAGGAAAAAAAAAACAAGCAACAAAACTTCTGTTTGACATGGAAAAGCAACATGGAGAGATTATTCGCGTGAGCCATCTGCTTCTCTTGATGAAAGACAATCAGGGAAGGGGGGAGACCGAGAGAGCAAGCACACATGATGTAGGTCTACTAAGACATGTGATTGCAATCAGCAACCAATAGGAAGGAAGAACAGAGCGAGCGGTTCTTACTTAGTGCTGGACTGGGAGCCTTTACGGAGTCATCTGTGTGAGGAATGATTAAATAATATAATTTGGGAGGCTGCTCTGGGGATGTTCAAAGGGGAAATATAACAAGGCACAAAGGAATACAGCAGAAAAACAGGAGCAGGTGATTAAGCAAGAGCAGATTCAAGGCAAGAGAGTCAGAAAAAAAACAACAATCTATAAATCTTATTGAGAACATTTTCAGCATAACTTTAGATCCGAAAAGCTTGTAAGCTTTGTTTTAATAGAAATGTCTAATACTTTATCAGGCAGATATGCACTAACAACTCACGAGGAACGGTAAAACCGACACCTTTTTCTGATAGTCTCCCTTGAGCCTCCGTGGCCGCTGAGGTTCCACACCCCATTTCTGGGGTCGCCGGCAGCTTACGGGCTCCCGCGCAGTCCGCTCGGCGACGGCTTAACAGGTGTCTCGGTCCCGCGGAGTCCTACGGGCACGCAAGACCCTCACATCAACCAAAACCTTCCAAGCGAACTCTTCTTGGACGGACCCTGCACTTTGCCAGGCCGTTGCAAAAAAAAAAAAAATACGAGAAAAGTAGAACAAAAAGCTAAGGGAACGGCCCCTTCCCAGTGACTGCACCTGGCGCACCGGGGGAGCCGCTTCTCTGCCAGCCAGTACCTACGCACGTGCACGTCCGAATACGCACGTGTGCGCGTAATGCCCGAGCCCGCGGCAGTAAGCGGCGCGTGCCTCCTGCCATTCCGTGTTATTTCCGCCACAATGACACTCCGAGCTGGCTAATGAAAGGAATGCCCCGCTCCACCGCGCCGTCTATTCCGGACGAGGAACAAAGCTTCCGAGCGCGTCGCTTTCATCTGCTTTACAGCACCTTTGAAAGCCCACTTAGGCATCCCTGTCGGCACAGCGTTTTGGGAATCAAACACCCTCGCCGCAGAGTAATGGAAAAACAGGAGAGGTCGTGTGATGTTCGCATGGCCTTCCCGCCCCGGGAGCGAGGATACAAACATCTACTAAAAACTAAAACATGTGAAGAAAGTTGAGTTTTACCAGAAACACAGAAGTTGACAATTTTATTTTACATATTTATAGCCTATTTTAAGACATTTGTTCTTTGGTTAATCCTTGCAATGAAATGACCTACTCTCATTGTTTCTGAAATAGCAAATCCCATCTGTCACGGCGGGACATGAATCGTGAGATGAATTGGAGACTTTGTCGTCATAGATACCGAGAAAGTCATTGAGAAGACAAGAACTCGAGTCGCATGGTGACAGGCTAGACTTTGCGACTATTGACCATCAAAGCAGCACGAATATAAAAAGGAAAGAAAAAACCAAATATTTACTTATTTGAACCCCCAGTCATCTTGACGTGACAGATTCACCAATAATCATTCACACGTTTCCATACGCACATCTAAAGATTCATGCCGAGAATAGCAGTGCATGAAGCAAGACGAAGAGCAAGGAAATCACGTATTCGAAGAACAATGCAAACCCAGTAATATGCACGGTACCTACAGAAGAGACCGAGAGTAGGCGAAGCTGGGGGCACCGCCGCCTTCCGCCTCCGCGCCAAGAAGCGGAGTGCGAAGCTGTACTCGAACCGCGCATGAACGGGTTGCGATGGAGGAAAACGAAGAATTTTAATTGAAGTCTGTTTCACAGACCATGCGTTCAAGGCAGCGCCAGTCTTTAAACTGTTAGGAAGCCCATTCCCAGTTAACCTAATGAACTGAGAAGGAAACGTACAGCATTTTTTTGTACTTAAGTTTTGGTGCCCGGGTTTCCTTCGCCCAACCTGATAGCTAGAAGTAACTATGATCAAGTTTGGCTGAAGCTCTTTACACTGAGCACAGCCCATCAGGCATCTAATAAGCAATCAACGCCACTCCAGCAGTAGTGAAATGAAGGAACGGTAATCATACAATCATTAAGTGTTTTACTGGTGATAGTAAGACCACAAAAATTCAATATACAGCCATGTGTAACATGGAGACGTTTGACTCCATTCTGAATTAAATAAACCTTTATTTAAAATTTATTCACTGTTGCGATTAAAAAGGAAAAAAAAAATAAATCTGCTTAAAATATGTTGACAGTAAGTTGCCGGCGCAATCAGGCGCCTTGGTGCGCTGCGTGCGTCTTCGGGCGCAGGAGTTGCACGGCGGAGCGCACCTCCCTCCTTGTGATAGTCCGGCGCTTGCTGTGCTTGGAGAGCCGGGCTGCTTGCAGTCCGACCATGTACAAGATGCTGCCGTTAGCGTGCCTAGGCACGGGCACGCGCTCGCTCACGCCAAGGCGAGTCTGTAACAGTGCAGAAGGGGACGAGTTACACACGCAAAACCACCGCCTTACAAAAAGAGAAACATGGGTCTAGCTGGAGAAACCTCTTTCTGAAAGCTGTACGTGGCTGCGGAATACGCCTTAGCTCGCCTCTTCTCTGTGCGCCTCAGTTTACTGGCCCCTGCGCGTTTATTGCCAGAGATCTTCATAATCGCTGCAGGATAAATTCGAGATTTTTCCAACAAGAGCATCAATCAGTACGAATGATATCATTTTGAGAGCATATACAGGCAGGTCAAACTTACCACAACTATCAGCAGTATTTACCACGTTTAACTTATTACAGTTGAATGCTACTTATATAGGCTACTTGTTAGCCCGGGCCTTTACATGGATCAGCTGGTGTTGCTAAATTTGTCGTTAATGACTGCAAGTCTCTCGGTATAAGATTGTATCAGTAACTCAAAGGCTGGAAAAAATGGTCAATTAGAAGCCAGGAGAGTCTGGAAACTACAATTAGTAATGTGGGGATTTTGCAGGAAACATAATTATCAATCAATTAGTTAATTGTTTAATTAAGATACGTTTGACAACCTTTCTTAATCATCCATGATTTCTATGAAAAGTGCTTGCGATAAAAACTCAAAGCTAAGGTTTTGGCCATAGAATTTCTTCATTATAGAACATAATTCGTTACTACAAAGCATGTATCTTTCAGCAGGCCATTTATGCAAGGTTTTATGCAGCAGATACATGGTGAATAAAGACGAAATAAAGACCGTAATATATTACATAAGAATCCATGAGATATTATGCACGTGTACAAACATTTCCAAGCGCAATTGTCTTTTTTTATTATTAAAAAAAACGCCATCTGTATTCTTGTTGTTATAAATGTGTTGAATTTTGCAAGGGTTGGTTTAAAATCATAAATAGCATTAATCTGAGAATCACTGGGAAGCTTTTATGCAGAAATACAAACCTGTTTGTGTGTCTTGCCACGATAGGCTGGTCTGTGGTTCTTTGTGTGAAATACCCCCACCACTCTCCAGAAGGCGCCTCTCCCGGTTAGCCTGTGCCCCACTTTACTGGCACCATTTCCGGTTGGCTGTCGGTGGACAAAATTCATCTGGTGGGGCCGGCGCCTCCCCCCGGGAGCCACCCGGCCGCAGGCAGGCGTATGCTGGGGACCGCCATGCTGCCGCTCGGAAGAACGGCGTGACGTCAAAAAGCACAGCGGGAGACACGCCTGCTACTGGGACTGACCCACGCGCATCCGACAGCGTGACCGCCGCTGCCCCGTGGCCTTCTGGCACCGCGACACAGACAGCGTGCATGGACAGGAGCCGATCAATCTGTGCGGCGCATGGAGAGCGCTGGGAGCACGGAGCGACAACGAGCCACCATTGATATAAGCTAACACAGAATAATCACAAAAAATGCTCTTCCTTCTGAGAAAAAAACGTAAACCTATACATTTCTGCCTAATTCATGGGTTAAAAAGGCAAAACAGAAAAATAGCAACAGACAAGTCTGTTCCCAGTCCCAGTTTGACTTGTTTGAAGGCACGAGATCTGCAGGGTTTTGTAAGCGAGGTGCAGTTGGGCTGAGTGACTAACACTAAATATTTAGCATTATGTTCTCCATGGTAGTCTGGAAGTAAGTGCCAGACCATTTTCTAGGTTACAAGGCTGGATGACTTTGCTGTAATTCACTAGGTGGGGGTAGTGAACGTGACTGCGTGTTTTCCCGTGTCTCCTTGAAGGGAGGAGGTTGGCTTCTAGGAACCACATTGGACAGCCGAGTGGTGGGCAGCTGTGGGAGGGGCTTCGTGGGGCAATGAGGGGATTTAGAAAGGGGCCGTCAGTGTCCCGTGGATTACAATAATCCAGATCCCCCCATCGCCGTGAGCTGTGGCACCGTTTGGGCTCCAGCGCCAGAGAAGATGGAGGTCAGCGCTCGGCACATCCTGTTGTCCCTTCTGCTCCTGGCTGAAGGTACGTCCTCGCAGCGTTATGCGGACCGTGGATGGCGATCGCCTAGAAACGGGCTGGGAGCGTGTACGGCGGACGAGATTGAGCGGCATTCTGTCTGGCGGCTGCTCCAACAGAGCATTTTCATTTGAAGCTTCCTGGGTAACTTGTCGTCGAAACATTCGCAACATAATGTGCAACAGAGTCTCGCGTGACTAATGGAGGATGACCTGAGGTGCTTGGACCTTCAGGCATGATTCCCGACTTCCCTAATTTTCCCTCGGTAATTAGGCACGTATTTAAAGAGAATCAGAAGGTTCCGGACCATTTGCTATGCATTACCAGATGAAGGACTGATCTAACAGTGTCCTGGTTGCTCGTGCCATGTGTCACTTTTAGCAGGTCCCCAGGTGTTGGCCAGCTGCTGCTTTTTAGAGGTGTTTCAGTGGTCAGCAGAGGGCAGCGTGTGTGCTGATCACCTTGAGATAATGTTTGTCCCCTTCCTCCTCTCCTGGACTGGCTCTGTGGACTGACGGGTAGCCCTGACTGGTGCTCTCACACAAGGGGTAGGTGTTTCCAATGCACTCTGTCCGCCATCATTGCTTGGTTGAAATTCCACCATGGGGTCTGACCCTCGTGTTCCCCGTTCCCCTCCTCCTCTCCCCTCCCCGTGTCCCAAGAGGAAGAGGAGGAAGCTCGCGGAATGTGGCAAAGCAAAGCCTGCAATTGTGACTGCCCGGGGACGCCCCCCATGGCCTTCCCCACTGACACCGAGCTGGCCCCTCCCCCACCCAGAAGCAGCTTAATGGACTGCATGCCAGGTGAGTACCCCTCCCAGAGGTCAGCTGATCAGCTCCTGGTATCCTATTGGCTAGTCTGTCCACTGATTCCCTTAGTTGAGCTACAATAGACCATTGCCATTTTTCAGATCCCTTTCTGCACCCAAAGACAACAGCAACACCATTACCAATACTGGGTTTCTCAGCGTGCAACTGAGCCCAAAAAGGCTGAAAGTGTAAGGTATGATGAACCAGGGTACTCTATGTCTTCCCTTTGGTTGTAGTTGAGACCCAGGTACCATCGATCCAAGTTTGCTGTAGAGCAGTAAACATCAAAGGAAAGCCATGAATCACCTGATGATGGTAAACAGGTCTGGGCACATGGGGCCTGCCTGGGCTCCCTGGATGAGACGTGGGGCACCAGACCGTTTATCTTGGGTTAAATTCAATGTCAAACTGGGATGTGACTGTGTCACTGATAGAATTGGACCTTGATCTTCTTCCCTAGTCTTTATTCGTCTTGTTTCTTATTGCTTTGCTTCAATTCAAGGAGAGAGAAATGGGAAAAGGAAGAAAGAGGGAGAGAATGGCAGAAAACAGACTGATAATCCTGTTAGCAGTGCAGCATCCTGATTCTTAGATCACTGGGCCTGATACAGGGTTAGCCTTTAGCACGATCGCTACCAACTACCATGGCAGAACTTGTGATCCAGCTCACTAGTCACCTGATCCCAGACACTGATGTCATCTGTTGGTCTGTGGGCCTAGTACTGTACCGCTGTACCGCCCTGCAAGTGCCGCAGCTGAATTTATGCTTGAGCCCAGAGCAGGAGAAGCAGCATCCAGGAAGGCTGAGCTTCCGGACAGGACCATCTGTCACACTTTGCTCTTACAGGATGTTCATCCTTTAACACTCGGGCTTAGTCGCCAAAATGGAGGAGTGGGGAGCAGCAATGGGATCAGAGCTAGACCAGCAGTTGGAGATGCATCTGAACTCCTGATAGGACTTTCCTCTTTATGGCGGTTAATCTGGGATTTGACCGCTGCTGCGCAGGTAGCCATGGTTACCGTATCACCTGTGTGTCAGCCTGCTTTGCCGGCCGCCCCTGTCAGGTGATTTCTGTAAGGATGTTGTGACGTGTACAAGCGTGGCCAAGAACCCAGCGGAATGTCCAGACGAGGGTGGCACGCTGCAGCAGTGGCTGGTACTCACAGGGTTTGAGTCTCCGCCCCAGCCCTACGTGTGTGGAGTTTGCATGTAGCCCTACGTGTGTGGAGTTTGCATGTAGCCCTACGTGTGTGGAGTTTGCATGTAGCCCTACGTGTGTGGAGTTTGCATGTAGCTCCACGTGTGTGGAGTTGTGCATGTTCTCCCCGTGGCATCGTGGGATTTCCACTAGGTTCCTCGGTCTCTCCCTGATGAAAATGTCCAAAAACATGCTACGGTGAATTGGAATTGCCGAACTGTCTGTAGGTGATAATGGTGTGTGTGTGTGTGTGTGTGTGCGTGTGCGTGTGTGTGTGTGCCCTGCGATGGGTTGGCGCCTTGTTCTGGGGCCAACCTCGTTCCCTGCCTTGTGCCTGCAGCCTCTGGCTGTGTATAGGTGCATGGTTCCTTTCCTCACTCCAGTTTCTCTTGTTAATTGATAAGGAAGAGGAAAAGGTGTGCAGTAGGCATATAGAGATCTGCATGTGGGGGCATAAAAAAGCAAGAATGCAGATCCTTATTATATTTATTAATTGCTATTGTTGACATTGAAGTCACTGACCTGGGTGGTGGTTTGTGGTCCAATGGGTTACCAGCCTGTGCCTATGATCAGAAGGTCCCGGGTTCCAATCCCATGCCGGGTGGTATGATGTCACCGTTGGGCCCCTGAAGGCCGTCCATGTCCAATTGCTCAGGGACCAGCTGACGCTGGCTTCTCTCCTGACGTGTGTGTGTGCGCGCCATTTTGGATAAAGGTGTCTGCTTCATTTCTCAAGATAAATTTATTCCAAGGTGGTCAAATTCCTAATGAAATGTTCTATTTCACAAACATTTTGTGACTTCTAAGCTAAGAAACAAATTCTCAGAAGATACATTTGTGAAGGATCAACAGCCGTGATAGTTGTTTATGTAGTCTAATGATTGATGTCGTGGATGGGGGGGGGGCACCAGGCTGGTAGTGGCTGATCGGCCGTGTCTGCCCACAGAGTGCCCGTACCACAAGCCGCTGGGCTTTGAGGCGGGCTCCGTGGCTGCCGACCAGATCAGCTGTGCCAACGAGGAGCAGTATACCGGGTGGTTCTCCTCCTGGGTGCCAAGCAAAGCACGGCTAAACAACCAGGGCTTTGGGTGAGTCTGCCTGGGGGACGTTTTCATCCATAGCTACAGCTGGATATTTAGCTCAGTATGGATGCTACAGCATAACTTCTTCTGGGACTCGACCTGGCAACCTTCAGGGACCATGAGCTGTGTCCCCATCATTTTTCATTTTAATATAACAATGCTTAACGAATTAATAGAATTTCTATAAGCTACTATCACTTTCAGGAAAACAGCAGCAGCTTCCTGTTTGCGTGATTGTATCCCCCCTGCGCCCCCCCCCAGGTGTGCCTGGCTCTCTAAGTACCAAGACAGTAGCCAGTGGCTGCAGATCGACCTGAAGGAGGTGCATGTGGTGTCTGGGATTCTGACCCAGGGCCGCTGCGATGCCGATGAGTGGATGACCAAGTACAGCATTCAGTATCGCTCTAACGAGACACTCAACTGGATCTACTACAAGGACCAAACTGGCAACAACAGGGTGAGGCTGCCTGTCTTTCAGGCTCACGGATGTGCCGCAGTACACATGATGAGAACAGGGCGCCCCCCTGTGGTGGTTTTAGGTCACATTAATTAAATTATCTTCAATCAGGCTGACCTATAGCTTTACCAAAACTGATCTGCTTTGTGTGAAAACTATTGTACAAATTAGGATTAGCTGCTGTTTTTAATTGTACAGCACTATAAATTAACTAATTAAATTCTATCTGAATAATGAATAGTCATGTAATTACACATCACATCATTAATATTATTAATTATATAATTAGTGCATAAAATAAAGCATCTTTTCACGTACCTCTTTATCACAAACACTCCTCCAAGTATCAGAATTCAGCTGAACCTCCAGTATGCGCTGTGTCCTCCCAGTACCTGAACTGGGACACTGTGTCCTGGGGTGCGCTGGGTTATTATGAATGTGCTCAGATCCAGCGGGCTGCTGCGTTTCCAGGCGATCCTGAGGCCTGCGTGCCGTCTCTCCTCAGGTGTTCTATGGGAACTCGGACCGGTCCTCGTCCGTGCAGAACCTGATGCGGCCGCCTATCGTGGCACGTTATATCCGGGTGCTGCCGCTGGGCTGGCACACACGCATCGCTGTGCGCATGGAGCTGCTGCTCTGCATGCACAAGTGCACCTGAAGCCCCGCCCCCCAGCATTTCACCACTCCCATCATCCTCACCTGAAGCCCCGCCCCCAGCATTTCACCACTCCCATCATCCTCACCTGAAGCCCCGCCCCCAGCATTTCACCACTCCCATCATCCTTACCTGAAGCCCCGCCCCCAGCATTTCACCACTCCTATCATCCTTAGCTGAAGCCCCGCCCCCCAACATTTCACCACTCCCATCATCCTTAGCTGAGCTGTAGCCCCTCACACTTGCCAAAGCAGAACATGCAGCCACCTAAAGTAATAATAATAAATAATTCTTTATTTTTATGGCACTTTATTACAGCTCAAAGTACTCCACATATGGGACTAAATGAGAAACAAAGCTGTATAAAATATACAACTAAGGTACAGCTCAAAGAAATAAGCAAATAAATTTAGTATAATGTGAATAAATAAGCAAAATAAATACCAATACAATACACACAATAAAAATAAAACAATAAAAAGGTCAAAATATACCAAAATCTATATAATAAAAACAGGAAATAATTAATGCCGTATAAAATGGATTGATCAACAACCCAGTGACATAAAGAGATAAATTAGGATCAAAGAACACAAGCAACAAAAATGTGGAGTATAGCCTCTGTAATTGCCCATAGCACAGACAGCAGCGTCATACCCCTCCAGATGGGACATACATTTATACAGTCCCTAAGACACACAATGGAGTTGAATGTTACTTATTGAGTGAACTTTCCCATTTAACCTCATTTCCTGGCTTTTCCGCTTTGGCAAGAATGGGGGTGTTGAACAGTCGGGTTAATGTGAAGAAAAGTAGGACAAGCCAAGATGACAACTACAAATGTTTATGTTGAGTGTCTGTCTTCCCTGTTCCTGAATTCTGCTGTGCGTTGTAGCTGTGATGTGGTGTGTTGAGTGTCTGTCTTCCCTGTTCCTGAATTCTGCTGTGCGTTGCAGCTGTGATGTGGTGTGTTGAGTGTCTGTCTTCCCTGTTCCAGAATTCTGCTGTGCGTTGTAGCTGTGATGTGGTGTGCCTTTCATTCTTCTGATCAGGGGTGGGTGGGTTGTTGCTCTATTGTCTAGATGAGCAAAAGTGAAATCATGAAAAGGGACAGTAATATTTGTCATTAAAGAGAAACTTTCTTGTATTCTGTCTTAATGTTTAATCTCACCATAAAAACACAGTGTCTTAAGGGTCTAATCTGAGACAAATCTACGATCACACTCCCAATCACATTAAATCCTGTCACACAACTCAAACATGTCATCAAATGAAGATCCTTACACACAAACACATAAAAGATGACAGTAGCCTAGTTTCTGAAATGCAAAACCTGTATTTTCTTTTAATAAATAACATGTTTTGCAAGATCCATCCAAAAACACAATGTGCTTAGTGAGAATGAGCCATTTCCATGCCAGTCGCGGGGGGGTCAGGTTCACATGGTGATCGTTATATTTACAGGACCCAACAGAGACATGCCAAGGTTAGATACACATTAACCAGACTAGACATCAAGTGGACACATCTGACAGAAAAAGAGCAAATTAACAAGCGTGTTTAGGGCGACATTCAGAGCTATCGAAGCTGTTAGCCCAGGGCTAGAGCCAGTGCAGCCATAAGGACTTTGAAATGTCAGTCAGTCTTAGATCAGCGGAGTCAATCTCCAAATTCCAGCCTTTCTTGGGGGTGGGAGAGGTTGTTTAAACATTTTATTTAAAAAAGTGCCTTCTTATTTCATAAAAATTGTTAAATAAGGCGGAAAGCCTGAGGCCGAGTGTTAAACAGCACGCGCTGCGAAATATCTTAACGGGGGGTGGAGACTCGATGCCATCTGAGACGTAGCAGATGCACGGGCGCACCGACTCCGCCCACTCGGCCCCGTTCCCTTTTGCCGAATTTGAACTCACACCAATCGCACAAGGTGAATTTACCCATGACCGTCAAGAAAACACATAAAAAAAGGAAAACCCAGAAATGCACAAGATTTTACCGTTAGAGAGGTTAAATATTTTATTTATTCTTTACCGTAACACTCCTGCACATGCAGTTCATATAACCTTGTGATGGGGAAAGCTAGCTATGAACCTCATGGTTAGTGGGTGAGATTATTATGCCCCGTCAATCACCAAGAGGTCTAACCAGCTTCCATTTCAATTGGCTAATTTGTTGGCTCCCATTGGGCGAGACCAAATACAGTAGCCCCGCCCACCATGGACGTCGAGCCCCGACTCTCGCTCTCACTACAAACGTGAAGTGAAAGTAACGCAAAGCTGTCTAGTTCAGATCTCCTGCCGCTGTCATTCAGTCTGTGATCGTCACCATCAACATAGAAGAAATTACCGTCATCATTACGTCCACCGGTTTCGCAAAATAAAAAAAAATATATCGCTTTTATAGTGTTTCATCATTATTTATCGCAGCTTCATTCTGTAATATACACAGGACAACAGCGCGAGTTGAAATTAAAAAAATTAATAATGATCCTAAATCCAAAATGAACAGGATGTATTAATAGAGAGCGCGAGGGGGTGGGGAGGGGGTGCTGGGGTGTGAGACTGCAGGTACTGACACCCTCTTTCCAGGCGAACAACAGAGAGTAAAACGTGGGACAGACAAATCTGCCGGAGTCGAGTCGGATAGATCCTGCCCTCAGCACACCACCGGGGTGATTAAGAAGCACACTCACCCATAACTATTCAGAAAGGCATTAATGCGTGGATTCCAGTTTTTAAACAGAAAGGACAATAAATGGCAATTATTAAGGCTGTTACGTCATCCTGGGAGGGGTTGGGGGTGTGCGTATGGACCCAAAGGCATCTGGCCCTGCTGGCTGATAATAATTAACCTGGTGTAACCCAGGGCGACAGATAAGAGACCCAACATAACTTTCTGCTTGCTGCTCTGTATTTAACTTGATGACAGTTTTGCCACAGTCAACTAACAGTTTTCTGGTTTGCATGCGTAACCTGTGACTATCTGCCTGATGGAATATGTGTCACAGAACTCTGCTGCAAGTCAGGTGAAAACATCAGCCGTCCGTCATGCTGCTCTCCCTCCCCCTTCAGCTCTACAGGACACTTGGACGTCTGTGTACGAGAGCCTCCCCAGGCCTGGAGCTAAAGGCCACTGCGAATAAGCTGCATTACACAGTGGATCTCCACCCTCTGGCACAGAAAGCCTGTACGGGATGTGAATACACCGTAAAACATGGCGCTAATAGTCAGTGCGGGTGATACAACTATTGGTCTCAGCTAAGGGAGCGTCACAAATATATGGGACTTAAGGGAGCGTCCTACAGCTGACTCTGATGTTATTGCTTAAAAGACAGGCACCGTGCAAGCCAGCCCATAAACGTTTGTATGTTCAACTCCAGCTGTCTTGTTCCTTCTGGGCCAAGCTCGCCATGCACGTTAAGGGCGCTATATAACGACGGGGGAACGCTACGCTGAGGAAGTCTGACACGCAGAAGCTAAAGTGCAGCAGAGAACGTTCTCAGCCCTTCCCTGCAAACCACACCAGTTGGTGACAAGGCCATGCAGACGTATTAGATGGGAAAAAAACAGACTGATACAAAGAAGCTCACTGTTACCCCCTGCCCCCCACCCCAACAGTCCTGCGATAACCGCTGGCACTTGGACCCCTAAACACAGCAATAAAAAAAACATTTTTGGAACCCATGCCACAAGTTCAAGATGGCGTGATTTCTAACAAAAACGTCATAACTAATGTTTCATTGCAGAATGTCTATAAAGTCATTTTGTTTTATAAATATTACCCAAAAAAAACACACATTGGTATTAATATAATACAGCGTGTTGCTCAACACAATAACCATCCCAGAAGAAAAATGATGCATGAACTTATTGTAGAGTAGAAACAGCGATTACGCAACAAACCAGTAACACGCATTCGATAGAAAAGACCGGTGTCCATGGTAACCGCAATTGCGCTGCATTAACAGAAACACCCCCCACCCTCCTCCCATACTGATATTCAAAACAGGCCGTGTATGTATTAAACACAAAATGAAGGGGAACGGTGCGAATTTTCTGATTATACAGCTTCTTTAAAGTGTCACATCAATACTGCCCCCAAAGGCAAAACGCAGTAACTACGCTGACACTGGGACTGAGAAAATGGGCTTCGAAGTTTTTTTTTGTGTGTCAACCAGTAGGTGCAGCAGGAAATAAATCATAGTGTACTTATGAAATGTGCGTTTATAAAGTAAGATTGTATTTTTTGCAAGACAAAACAGGGCCTTATGCACCTGATTTAGGTCGTAGCTCAGTGTAGTTACAGTGTTTTGCCTTTGTGCAGAAGAATATAACCTGATCTGTTTAATTAGTTTCTTTGCTAGACATTTATAAATATTGAAATAGATCATATTTGTTTGAAATGAAGGGGCTGGACCCTAAAGGGTGCTCTCTTACCCAGACTGGGCTGGAGATCTACCAGTGTTTCTGGTAAAGTTCTGTGTCTCGAAGACGTTCAGCACATCACCCGGTTACCCTACAAACACTACATAGCCAGCTCTAAGCTAATGGTCCCATAATTACTTAAATCATGTATTGCTATTTTTTCATTGGTTAGCAGTTTTTAAATATGGTTCTTGTGAAGTTTTTCTTATCATTTATTGTATGTATCCCATGCTTTGTAAAAACTGCAATTCCCATAAAATCTAAATGGCTAAGGTGCATGATTGCAGGGGACTGAAAAGGACAAGGGCGACGTTCCGGACAGGAGCACCAAAGTGCCGTGCCGAGCGTCCGGCTGAGCGGGAGCTCCCGGCAAGGTCACCCTGAGCACCAGCTGGTCTGGCCCCGGCGTACGCGCGGGGGGAGTGAAGCTCAGATCCCTCCTCCACCAAAGTGAAGCGACACGGGGCTATCTGTCCTGAACTGGACAGGCAGGAAAGTTCAGGGATCTGTGTACCGTGTATATCCGTCTGACCCCCTAGTCAGGTAAATGCGTCTCACGACGTCATGATTTAAACATACTTAAAACGACCAGCACGGTACACTCTCCGCTTCCGAACACATAGCCCAGAAATGTACACCTGCATATAATTCATTCTCACCTCCACAATGCACTGCACTAATCTGCTTCTGTGCCTGACAGCCGGTCGCACGGAGGGTGTACTTCTGAGAATTTAGTGCACGGACCCTCGCAGCAAAAAAAACGTATCGCAATACAAGAGAAGACAAATGTCTGTTACTAAGCCAGAATGGTGAGACTTTGCCTGGTCAAGGTAAGAGAACAACAGACAGTCATGGGGTTTGGTTCACACAATTACAGGGGGTAAACTAAAGAACGGCAAAAAGAATGGCATATATTAGAGTAATACTGTAAAATCTATATACTTCCAACACAAACAGCTAGATAATTTCAATGAAATATAGACTCATTGTGCAGGAAAGTTAATATATTTATTTTCTGTAGAAACTAAAGCTCTTGCACTTATACTTTTTTTTTAATTACCATATACATATTTTTCAACCATATGTATTTATTTCAAAACAAAAAAGGTATACTTTTCATAAATAATATTACAAATTCTATCAAATATGGAAGCTTAAAAAACCTATGACTTACAGAGCAGACCCCTTTGGCCATGGGCTGACCTGTTCCCCACACTCCCAATGCCGAGTGTGTTACTGCTGATTCCAGGCAGCAGAGGGAGCTGAAGAGAGGCCAGCAGTTGGTAGAGGTGGTAGTATGGGGCGGGTTTGCGGTTGGTGTGGGGGGGCACGCTCTACAAAGCGGTCTCCTTTAGGTCGTTGAGGTTTGGCATCCGTGAGCGAGGGGGCCGACTGAAGCCGTGTCCATTCTGTCCCCCTTTCGTGGTCAGTTGGTCTGCGTAGAGGGTGCTCTCGCCACGGCCCAGGGCCGACGCATGCCAGCTGGACTCTATCTGCCCCGGCAGTGGGTACCCACCTTGCCGGGGCTTCGGGGGTCCGGAACCGGCACCGGCGTGGCTGCGGCCCTCGGCGAATCCCCCCTTAGGGGGCGGGTTAGGCAGGGGCTGGAAGCGCAGTTCAGAGGGGGGGGCATGGTTGGCGGGGGAGGGGGTGAGGTGCAGGAGCTTGCGTAGGGACTTGAGAGGCTGGTTCTGGAGGGTGGGACAGGGCAGGTGGGTCACACACAGCTGCGCTCACGGCTGGAAAAACTTCCACATTTACTTCAGGGGCTAAAAAGATACTATTTTTACACCAGGACCTGCCAACCCCCAGTTAGGAGAATTAGCCTGACAGGAAGGTTAGGGGGCTTATGCCGAGCAGAACCACTCAGGGTCCATGACTGGGGTGCAGAATGGGCGAGGAGTGATTGAGACACTCTGCGAACCACGGCTTACCTGAGCAGGGGGGTCGGCCAAGTCCTCTGGGGGCCACTCGTCCCTCTCTCTTTCCCGTTCTCTCTCCCGTTCTCTCTCCCGTTCTCTCTCTCGTTCTCTCTCCCGCTCTCTCTCCCGCTCTCGTTCTCGGTCCCGCTCCCGCTCTCTGTCACGGTCTCGATCTCGCTCCCGTTCCCGGTCTCGATCCCGGTTCCGGTGCCGGCTGCCCTGTTGTGTGGAGGACCTGGAGGCCTTCTGAGTGGCCAGGTGCTCCTGCCCATCACTGGAGATCTGCTGTCCCGGGGAGGGGAGGGGAGGGGAGGGGGTGGGGTGGGAGGTAGGCAGTCAAGTGGCCGCAGTCGGAGGGCAGTACACCTTTGCCCGACAACCCAGTGTGACATCAGAACCATCCACAAGGTCCAGGGACAAGGACAGACAGTAAGAAAGTCATGTGACCCTCCCAGACAATCAGCTGACCCTCCCTACAGAAATTCCACAGTGAGCATTACACAAGTTCAAATCACAGGGAGCACACATAAATTTCCTCTACTCAAAGTCGCTTAAAAAGTGCTGGATAAAAGTATCAGTTAAACTAAGTAAACTCTATAGTAGAGTGACTGACTGCTTTAAAAAGCTCCCTTATAATCATACTTCTCTGCTCTCAGTGTTTGCAGTGTGCTTGACGTGTGTGGCGGATCACACACATGCTAGCCAGACATCCCAACTCTCCTGGAAGTTCTGGGAGTCTCCCACAGATTGACAGCGATTCCCTGAAATGCTGCTTTAATACCGTCATACCATCCAGACATAAAATGCGGCATATGAAATTTTGACGGCATTTAAGACGGCAGCGCTATTGCAGTATTAGCCTTATAAAATTTGCCTAACCGGGGTTGGGATAATTTCCAAGGAAACTACCGCGGTATGTATCCCAGCTGTTCCTCATCCGCCTCCCTGAAATCAATAAGGTGGGATGTCTGCACTAGCATAACATTAGCCTACTGTTAGTAGCTGAAATGTGGGAGGACACCATCAGTGAGAAGTATTACCTATGAAAGCCTACATGCCCCTACAGGTAAGTCCTGATTTCGAGTTCCTTCAGCGCTTTCTCACCTCAGAGAATCTAACTAGCTCTGGAAACAAAAATGGCCTTTGATATGATCCAGGGGTCCTGTCAACACTGTCCCGTCCCAGGACCCTGAGCACGTTTTGGAAGGTGGCGCTGGTGAAGGCATGCACCTTCAGGATTAGCAGGCATCAGGCTCTGCCCTGATTGGTGGTGGGGCCATGCAGCCACCCCCCATAAAAGCCCCCGACCACCAGGCAGACTGCAGACATGCGGTTAGCTGCGCAGCCACACAGACAATGTCGGACAGCACACCCCGACAATGGTATGAACCCCCCCTCCCCGGCCCAGGCCCACGGCGTGTAACCACAGAGCCACAGAGTTCCAGACCCATCAAACGATCGCCGACTGCCTGTCCTACTGGGAAATGTGCTGGGGTTGGACGGGTAACACTTTATATCTGCAATGGCTAAACCTCATTAATAATAATCGATCCTTTATTGTCCCCGCGGGGAAATTGTCTTTACGCCTCCCTCAACTTGCTCTTTGTAGAGTAAGCTGTCCGCGAAGGGCAGGCACCTGTTGGGGCACCCAGAGAGCTGGGGGTTAAGGGCCTTGGGGCGCCAGAGAGCTGGGGGTTAAGGGCCTTGGGGCGCCAGGGAGTCGGGGGTTAAGGGCCTTGCTCAAGGACCCACAGAGGCTGGGTTTGAACTGGTGACCTTTGGATTACAGGCACACAGGCTGAGCCACATACTTCCCACACTTCCGCTAATGATGTTTGGTCCACTAATGATAGGTCAACAGATGGACTTCAGTCATAGTAGTCGCCTGAAATTCGGATGCATCGTACCCCACGTGTGCACGATTTACATATACCGTCCTGAATCTGAAAATGTCAACTGGTACATGACTTCGAGACGTCCCAGAGACAGTTGATCGCCCTGGGTTTCCTGGAGGTAACAGTTGTCGGAACTCTAAATTCCACCTGATACGGCAGTTTTTTTTACCTGAAGTAGTTACAGTTTAAACGGTCGGATGGTTTATGGAACAGCTGTATCGTACGCCTTTGCCTGACTTGAGAAACTCATAACAAATGCAAAAGTCAAGATGCCAAGACAAGGTTGGGTTAAAGGCCCTGCTCAGGTACTTGGGGAATTTCAGGGTCTGACTGCAGCAATCTTCACTTTACAAAGAGAACAGACCCACGTGACAGATTCTGCGTCATAAGGGGACAGTCCACTACTCTAGGGCTCTTTGAGGTCAGATTTACAGTGACATGGGGAAGAGCAGCACGAGTGCAGAGTAAGTAATGTGAGAAGGACCCTGTATTCACTGTATTCAGGGCAAGTCATGTGATTCCTGAGGTGATCAGATCATCAGATGGTGGTTGACAAACGAGGCTGGCAGAGGTGACTGTAACAATGAGACTCAGTGTGGGACAATCGGCACATGGTCCAGTGGGGGGGGGGAGGTGTCCTTCTGACAAACCTGCAGATCCGGCGATCGTGCGATGCACCTGGGTCATGGTTTTCACCCTTCACCGCGAAACGGTGGCCCCGTGTCCCCCCCCCCCCATCCAAAAAAAGAGAAGAATAGGAACAGAAAGGAACACAGACGGCTGGGGTTAACAGCATGCGACGGCGGTCTGGACGCTGGTGAACCGGGGTACAGAAACAAATGCAATACCATGGATGAGGCTGCGGGGGGCGCTTTCACAGAAGACCTATGCTTTACATTAGTCTTTGAACTGAATAAAGGGAAAAGACATTTCTTGATGGACGGATTCCCTCCATCGCCGATTTCTGTCTGCAATATAAGATGCAAAACACTAGTAGCACAATGTGAAAACTCAAGGCAGGCAGCAGCTCAGAACCACGCTGGGCCCAAAGCCACAATGGCGGAGAGGCCATTCGGGACCCTGGGACTCTCTACTCTAACCACAATTCTAGCCGGTGTGGCGACCATTATAGGAAATGACCGTGAGACGAATAGGTGTGGCCTCGCTGTGTGGGCACTTTTAGCTTCACCACACCCACGATCGCGGCCTTGTTCAATCCCACTGTAATGGCTGTAACACGTAATAATTAAGGCCTGACAGAATCTCCACGTTTGTTAGACAATATGAGACCAAACTGTTGAACTCGAGAGGTGATGCCTTTGGATCCATGGGTGGGGTGGGGGGGCTCTGTGCCACTCCCCCCCCCCCCTCCGTTTCACCCCCATGCCGGGGGCCTGAGAGGGAGCCTTCGATGTCTGGCTGCGAACGGGCCTTCAGGAGGTGCAGACAGACTGAATGGATTACTGACACTGAAGCAAGCACATTGATATGACACAAAGCCCAGCATCAACTCAGCCCATCTCCCCTCTCACTTCCCCGCCTCCCTGAGTTTGAATCCTTCTGATTGGTCATCTGGACAGAAGGGAGGGGTTACGGTGGAAGCATCCCCAAACTGGACCCACCGTTTGAGATTTCTTCTTCTTCTTCTTTATTGCTTTGAAGAAGCCCTGCTTCTCCTTGCCCTTGGAAGCTTCAGGAGGATTCATGGCCATAGTCTCTGAGTTACTCCTAAGGACAGCAATTGGTATGTCAGAGATTACTACACTGCCCTCTTCAGGCAATTATGGGAAATACATGGAAATACACAAAATAGTAAAAGCACAGAATAACCTAGTAAATACCACGTAAGTACTCAGTACCTGAGATAATTCACGATAACACTGGACAAACAGAAGACCCAGCAAAGGTACATAACATACATGACAGCATCACAAGATTTTAGGAAGGGGCTGAAAACGATGCAAAACTCCACGATATATGTGCAGTTAAGAAGCAAAGAGAGGTGAAGGTACTAAAGTGGAAATGTATCTGCTGAGGGTTTGTCATCCTGGAGGACACGGCCTGCTGCTCATTCCTACAAAAAGACGGTGTCACCCATGGCAACGGCGATTACGGCGTGCTGTCGACAGAGATCCCATCACATTGTCTCATCCCGGCTTAATCGCAGAGCCCCCGCTTCATCTGAAATCCAATCCCGCTATCTGTCTCGTGGCTGACGGTGCGCATGAGGGGCCGGGGGGGTGGGGATAGGTGACAAACGTGCACGTTCGTTCTCAGCCGTGACCGCGAGCTCCAGCGAGTAATCACTGTTCTCCTGTCAGTCAGCGACCGAGGCAGAGAGCGAGCCTGAGTGTGACAGCGGGACTGAGCTCAATGTCAGACACTCAGTCTCCACTGTAATATCCGGAACCAAAAGAAATCAAGGGAATGTGTTCGATCCAGTTAAAATTCTTCCCTGATGATGTGGGTGCAGAATGTTTTACAGAAGGTTCACACTTTAATCTTACCCAAGCAGCACACTTCGGCCATGAACAGTGTGCACTGGAAATGGGGGGGTGGGCTGCTCACCAGGGGTCGAAGGTCGTCTGTCGCTTGGAGTGGTTGTTCATGGCACCGCTCTCCGCAGCAGCGGCGGGTCCCCTGCTCTGGACACTGCTGTCGTGGAAGGAGTTGTCCGGCCGAGGGGAGGGCACTATAGAGCAACGCAGATCTAAAGGCTCTATTCTGGCCACCAGGTGGCGTAATGGTTAAGGAATTTCTAAAGGCAGAGTGTTTCAGTATTAAATATTTTACAACAGGCAATGTTATAAAAGACAAGGCACGCCCACTGCCACCCCCCCCCCCAACCCCCCGCACCTCTGTAGAAGCTGCCCACCCGCCTGGGCATGGAGTCACTGTAGATGTTACGGTTCTCCTTGGAGGAGGCGCTGTCCTCAGGGTGGGGGTCGTGGTACGCGCCCACCTAGACCACAGGATAAGCGCTCATGTGTGTGCACTTGGGGGGTGGGCAGGCCAGTCATATGCACAGCCACTGCCACACTGTCGCATCCCAAAGCAGAGGTGACCCAGCCAAGGGTCATGGGGTCAAAGGTCAGGGTGAGGCACCAATTAGGACGGTGGGGGTACGGACCTCATTTTTTTGGCGCGGTGTGTGGAATGGTGCGGTGTTGTCCCGTGTGGAGTCCTTGATTGGGGGTCGCATGTGACTTGCCTCATTGGGAGTCGGTTCGCTCTGTCAATAGAACATACACACGCAGTACAATTAATGAGTGTGAGGAACACAGAGAAGGGCAAAGGGCAGAGGGCAAAGGGCAGAGTCCTGAAGGAAAAGGGCACCGGGCAGAAGACAAAGGGCAGAGGGCAAAAGGCAAAGGGCTGAAGGAAAAGGGCAAAGGGCAAAGGGCAGAGGGCAAAGGGCTGAAGGAAAAGGGCAGAGGGCTGAAGGAAAAGGGCACCGGGCAGAAGACAAAGGGCAGGGGGCAAAAGGCAAAGGGAAGAAGGAAAAGAGCATAGGGCAGAGGGCTGAAGGCAAAGGGCAGAAGGCAAAGGGCAGAGGGCAAAGGGCAGAGGGCAAAAGGCAAAGGGCAGAGGGAAGAAGGAAAAGGGCAAAGGGCCTGTATGCTCTGGATATCCTAGATGCCCTTTCCAGATATTTCAGTTGGGCCTTTTTGTTTTTTGTCAAACAGGAAATGTCAGCCATTTTCACACATTGGTAAAACAGCCAGAAGCATTTGAGGTAACAGCTGCAGTACCACTTTCTGACCACATGGTGCCAGAAAAGTCAACCTCTGTAGGTCTTCCAAAGATAGTAATGTTACTTACTTTTTAATGAATTGCGTTTGTTATGTGTTATAAGAGCCTTACAGATCAGTAGTACTTATTATTCTGATTAGTATTATTATTATCTAGGCACAAGCAGACAAGCTGTTGGGGTGGAGACTGACCCTGCTGACGTCATTGGTGCAGTCCTCTCGGGACGAGCCCCCAGAGTGGCGGGTAAGGGTCCGATGCTGCACCTGGGGGGAGAGGAGCTGCAGGCTGCTGGTGCGGGTGGGTGCACCCTGGCCCACTGCCAGCCCTGGGTCGGGCCCATGGGGGCGCTGTCGTTCACGGCGCACATACATAGAGTGGCGGTGGGGGCGCTGTTGTGAGGAGAAGGGGCTGGTGTAGCCGAGGCCATAAGGGAAGGACTCCTGGGGGGCGGAGAGTGAGTGTGAGTGGGCCCCGCCCCCAGCCCCGCCCCCAGGCCCCCCTCCATCCAGCAGCTCTTGGGTTTTGGGCTCCTCTGGGTTTTTGTGCCGCGTGGCTGTGCGACGGGAGTCCAGGGTGCCGCCCTCCAGGCGAGGGTTGCCCCGTCCCGAAGGGCTGACGGCGGGTCGGTCGCCGTGGCGACCCGATGGGCTGCCGGGGGCCGCCAGGTCCACACAGCTGGAGGGGAAGTAGCGTGGGCCGGTGGGCTCATCTGGGTGCAACCGCGCCTCGTTCAGGTTGCCCACGGACTTGGCATCGCTGAGCGCCCCGTGGCTCTTGGACAGGTTCAGGTAGGAGGCGGAGCTCTTGGTGGTGGTCGGCATGGAGCCATGTGTGGGTTCCACGTAGCCGTGCCGACTGCGCTTCTCCCCGGTTTGGAGGGTGCTCGTCTTGCCCTCTACGAAGGACTGCCGGTTCTGCTGTGAGCGCGAGTTGGACTTCAAGTACTTGGAACCCGCCGGGCCATCGCTGCCCTTGGACGGCACGTTGAAGTCAAACTCACTCTTGCCCTTGGCTTCCTTGGGACTAAGCAGCTGGGGCAGGTTGTTGTTGCCCATGTCCTTGCTGCAGGAGGCAGAGCGGTTCAGCGACTGATGCTGGTAGGTCTTGGGGTGCAGCGTGGGGCTGATGCTAGCTGGCGGGGGCAGGTTGCCATTAAGGAAGCCGTCGTTGCCGTGGTGCAGGTCCTCATGCCGGGGCAGGCTGGAGCAGTCCTTGCTGTTGGACCGGTGGTGGCCTGAGCTCTTGCCCCCAAGGCCCCTGTGGGTACCGCGGTTCGAGCAGCATTAGAGCAGAGAGCGAAAAACTTCAGCAAACATCAGCTCCCAAAATGCTGCTTCAACACAAACCATCCAATCTGATCTATTCCACCACCACATAATTTGATTATGGACTGTCTTGGCAGGGGGTGGGGGGGTGGTGGTGGTTAAGAAGTCAGGATTGGGAATCCCTGCGCAACATTCATTCAATGTTCATGATTAATGACACCCACTGACATACGATACAGTGTTCCTATACTCTGGCTACCCTGTTACACCCTTCAAGACCATGGGGCATCCTCTGCTTGATCATTAATTAATTCTTCAAAGCCATTTATTTCACTGGACCCCACTTGCCTACCTTAGTGCCCCCCCACCGATCCCAACAACATGCCATGGGATGCATTTAAATAATTTAAGATCATGTTGTTTGAAAAGGAAGCGGCCTTATATAACTTATATAATGTGGGTAATCTGTAGTGATGGATGGAATGACATTTCATGAACCATTTGCTATATTTTCTCACCCCACTAGATGGTGCTATCTGTTAAAAAAAATGGCACAAAGCAAACCAACAGCACCATCTAGTGGGGTCAGAAAATACAGCAAATGGTTCATGAAGCATCATTTCATACATCACTAGTAATCTGTGTGGTGGCTTGTATCCAGTTAGAAGCGGATGTTAATTTTTTAAAGCTTCTGACTTCTCTAAAAATGTCCCCATTCATCAAGCAGTTAAAATGACCTGGAGACCCTCCTAGGGACTAGACGAGACACCTGTCTACGTGGCCCTGACCTTGTGGACGTGTTATTCTCGCTGTGGTGGGATTTCCTCTTGGAAGAGCGAGCTGGGTTGGGCGAAGGGGGGCCGGTGCGGTCCAGGAGGCGCTGGGTCTGGAAGACATGGTGGTTCAGGCTCTGCTCAGTCAGAAAGCGCTCCGAAGGGTCCAGCAGCAGGAGGTTCTAGGGGGAGAAGATACAAGGTGACCACATATCCTTCTCATCTTCTCCAAGATCAAACACGTCCAATCCTCAAGCCCAATCATTCCTGAATTATGATGCCATTATGATGCATTGAAGGTTCTTATGAATCATCAGGCTGGTATCAGAAAGCACCACAAAGACAGATGCTATGCTACCATCCATCCATTTCCTGTAACCACTTGTCCTATTCAGGGTCACGGAGGTCTGTGTCCCGCAGGTTATGGCCACAAGGGAGGGAATAACCCAGGATGGGGTGCCAACCCATCACAGGGCACACATACCATTCACACCTATGGGCAATTTGGTAACTCCAATTAACCTCAGCATGTTTTTGGACTGTGGGGGGGAAACCGGAGTACCCGGAGGAAACACCATGACAACACAAGGAGAACATGCAAACTCCACATGCAGAGTTATAGCAGGGACTCGAACCCTGATCCCAAAGGTGTGAGGCAACAATGTTAACCACTGCAGCACTGTGCCATCCTGCCATGCTACCAGAGTAGTAATATTTAAATCCCTGTCATCTCTCTGGGAATAACTGGATGGTGAAATACAAGAAATTCTTAGTGAAAGAAGTTAATTGTAAAAGTGTGTCGCACCTTCAAATATCACCCTGGTCTGAACGTAAGTACGAGGGCAGAGATGGCAGGAACGCTCAGCAGTCAGCCACAGTGCTGCGATCATAAACAAGGACTCATTTATCATTTCGGTGTGCTGCCCCTCCAGGTGGCTGGCTACTCAATTATTTTCCTAATTAATTCCAGTTAAAAATGGATGAACTTCAACGTTTATGGCCATAACCTTTCAGAAAAAAAGTTTCTCATTGTCTGGATGCAAGACATCGCAGAACACTGTGTCTGAAACTTCAGTACACCGTCAAGAAATATTTTCCATGTATTACTGGTGATGTGTTGATGTTGAATTAGTCATATATTGGCATTAGTCACATCTGAATGAACTTTCCACCTCTGAATAAATGTAAAAAAAAAAAAACATTCACTGTACTCTGAGTTCTTGGGTCTGTAAGTTCTTAAAGCATACAGGGATAAAATGGAATTAAACTCATTGGACTGGTTCCCGGTTGGACGTTTTCCACCTGAACATTAGCACTGGATTAATTAAACTTCATAAGATGGATAAGATGGATGACTTCATCCCCTATTAATTACAGACCAAAATATAATTTTATGAAAGCAACACTCCATAAATCCAACATTTATCCCTGACTGGATGCTGGTAAGCTGAACTGTGACTGGTCAGTTAATTCTGAACCTTTGATGGGCTAAACTGTGATGCTGGGTGGGAAGATCGATGGATCCATGTTCTTCTCAGGTGAATGTTCTCCCCGAAAACCTGGTGCCACCAGGCCAGGCCAGGCCCCTACCTTCATCAGGTCCAGCATCAACCCGCTGATGATCCCCAGGTAACGTCTCTCCAGGGTCTGAGGGTGACTCACAGCAGGGAACTGGAACACACACACACACACACGTTTGTATTCATATCTTTGTGGGGACTCTCCATTCATTTCTATGGGCAAAATCCTAATCCCAACAATGACAAGCTTAACCCCTACCCAGCCGTAACCTTAACCACAAGTAACCAAAGTACAAATCTTCTGGCATTTTTAGGTTTTTGACTGCATCAGCAGGATCAGCAGATTTCAAATGGAACAAGTGGGAACCTGTCAAGCCCAACGAATAAACTCACAGCTGTTACTAGGCAATAACAGGATTTTCAAAAATAATTTCTATACTTGCTTCAGTTAATAATCTGCACATTAAAACTTTGGAAACTAAATAAAACTGGACACATGAAACAAGCATCATACTTCAAACAACTTCCATTGTTATGTCATTTTTCTAAATGTGGGGCTTGGGGGTCACGCCCCCCCCCAACCAGAAGGTGGTATCCAGCAGCACCAGCAACTCATGGTGGACGCAAGTCATCTCTGCACGTGTCTAAGATCACATCCACCAAAGTGCAGGCCAGAGCTACATCCGCTATTTAGCTTGTAGCACGGCCCCAGTGGGCAAACAGGGCCTTCTGGCTTTCACCAAAAGGGGGGTGGCTAAGCCTCGCTGGACTGTCGGGTCTGGAGGTGACATCCCATGGGTCACAGTGGGTGGCAATCGACAAGCCGGAGTGGCAGGGGTGCAGTGGACTGAACAGCAGCGAGGACCAACCACAAACGCCGCTTGCCCTTATCGAGCCAGCAGATGCCCGAGCTTGGCGCATCGATCCCCTTGTGTAAAAAAACAACAAAAAAAAACACAACGATCTGTTTCCTCTCCCTGGGGGGGGGGGGATGCATTCCCTGCTTTCCCGTTTCCCTGCTCTGTGGTTCCTCCTGGGACCTTTTGTCAAATCCATATCATGACCGACTGACTGACTGCCTGTGGGGCTCGGAAACAAAAGCAAAACCGAACAACAGTGTCACCAAGACGCCCCCAACCGTCTGCCCGAGTGTCTGAGTGACTGGCCAAGGTGTCGCTACGGTAACCAGGCTCTGTCCGTCCTCTGCGGCACTGTCAGCAAATGTCTGCCAATGATGATGTCAGTCCTCTCTTTTCCAGGCCTGTCTTGCACGACACGCAGGGTCATCACTTATTTAGCAAACTCAAGAGCCACAAGATGGATGGATGGATGGATGGATGGATGGAGAGAGAGAGCAGCACCCCTCCCTTCCTACTTGCTGTCCTACTTTCCCTGCCAGCTGAGTCCTGCTCCTGCTTTGCCAGAGGGGGATTCGCATTACTCCCACTGATGCCCCCCCACCCCCCCTGAATAAAGCCTTGGTTTGGACCATGTCCTCCTGATTGGCGGCAGAGGTCACGCGATCGGCAGGGCAACACGCCACGTGTGCCGCGCTTTGCACTGTACCCGAGTTTGTTAACAGCGCATTCTCGCAAAAACCAGACGGGAAGATGGCCGCAAACACAAATATCAACATGTCACTCTGGTACGTAAACACTGTTAATTATGTTCATTAATCAAATCATGTTGCAATTCTTCTGTGCTGTGCCATATGGTAAGGACGGCCAATTCATAATTTAGAAGCACAAACAGAAATCATTATTAATTCATATGTTGTCAATATGTCCATAAATTAAATACATAAAAGAATATATAACTATTCTATTAAGCTTATAGAACTTGTAAGGAGGGGAAGACAGGCTCTCAAAACCACTGGGGGGAGGTTCTCCAAACGGCAGAGGGGAGGTTCTCCAAACGGCAGAGGGGAGGTTCTCCAAACAGCAGAGGGGAGGTTCTCCAAACCACAGAGGAAGGATTTGGCTTCAAGGTGACAGCCCTGTGCTGTGAGTCATTAGGATCCAGACATTCGGAGAACTAGGACTTTGGCAAGATGGAGGAGATTGGGAGGGAAAAAGGAAAGGGGGGAGGAAGGGGGGTATAGGGATGGAGGGAACAAGAGAGAGAACTAAAAGAAAGAGGGGAGAGTTAAAGATGGATGAGATGGAGGAAGAGAGAAAAACTGAGGGTTTGAAGAAAGTTGAGGATGAAGAAATAGGTGGAAGCCAGAGGAAGGAAATTTATAGCAGGTGAGTGACAGAAGAGTGGAAGAACACAGAAACTAGAGAAAGATGGAAGCGATAAGGCAGGGGGGAGAAGGGAGTGCCTATGGAGAGAGGGGGTGAGGAGGTACCCGCAGGCCGTGGAAGCGGGGGTTGCTGTAGAAGAGTTTCATCTGCTCGGGGGGCAGCGGCCCCAGAACCTTCTGGATGGTGTACAGCTGGTCGATCTCGCTCTCTCCGGGGAAGAGGGGCTGCCCGTCACTGAGCTCCCCCAGGATGCAGCCCACCGACCACATGTCCACCGCCTTCCCGTAGGGGGCCCTGCAGTGAAGGACACAGCACCAGCACCGTGACGACCCCAGGGCTCAGCACGCCACCTGACCAGCTGACCGCGCTTAACACACAACTTAATGCGTAACACATACAGCTGCAAACTTAAAGTCACATGTCGAGTTTACGGCCGCGGCAAAATTAGCCGAACACAGCTACAAACTTCTAATGCAGCGTACGTAACCCTTTAAGAAATGCTAAAATAAAACATTAGAATCCTGTGACGAAACAAATCCAGCTAATTAGCAGAAGCACTTTGGCGAAAATCTCAGGCCATAAACGCCCTCCCCAGAGGTGAGTCTCTGTCTTTAATTCTGCGTTTGGTCCGTGTCAGCAGGCTCTGCCAATTTTACCTGCCAGAAAACCTTTTCAGGTGATCAAATTTGGTACAAGTTTTCCATTTACAGTTTACACGAGGAGATCTGGGCAAAAAAGGGAGAAGGACGGGAGAAGAGATAAAAAATAATGACTGAGGGAAGCGGAAAGAGACAGAGGTGACTGATGATGTTGGAAGGACACTTTTGAGTTGAAAAGCAAACGTTTGCGTGGCCGGAATTCATATATCGAGAAAGTCTCTCAAATGGTCCAGCTCTTTCGCTTTTTCCCCAGCTATTTAGTCAATTTCCTGCAGTTGAAAATGTGACATTTAAATATTTCTGACCTCAACTTTATATTGAATGGGGGGGCAGCCTGACGTGGCAGGGAATGATCTAGACAGAGCCATTGAACATTGGCACGGCTCCAGTTGGAAAAAGTCAGGATTTCAAAAAGAGCATATTAACTAAAAGATGGAAATGAGATTTAGATGATGAGTCACAATCCTGAACTGAGAAGGTGAGAACGTGTTTGTGTCATTGTGCCATCGTGTCCAATTCGTTTCTCATATAAATGTTTACGTAGGCAAAAGGCAAACACCTCAGGCCTCACTTATACACACATGTACATATACATGGGGGGGGGGACTCACCCCAGCAGCAGCTCTGGGGAACGGTACCACCTGGTGGCCACATACTCGGTGTAGTTGGCGTTGCTGCCTTCGGAGAGGTTGCGGGCGAAACCTGGGGAAAGTGGTGAGAGGGAGGGGCGTGACTGTATAGGAAGTATATCGCCCCTCCGAACAGCTCACTTACAGCCTGCCCATAACCCCTCCCAGAAGCCCACTGTGATCCCGCCCATAACCCCTCCCTACAGCCCAATCTGATCCCGCCCATAACCCCTCCCAGAAGCCCACTCTGATCCCGCCCATAACCCCTCCCAGCAGCCCACTCTGATCCC